AGTTATGCCTTTTGGGTTGACGAATGCTCCGGCAGCCTTTATGAACCTGTTGAACCGAGTCTTCCGACCTTATCTGGATCAATTCATGATAGTTTTCATCGATGACATTCTAATTTACTCAAAGACCCAGGAAGACCACAAGCAACATTTAAGGATCGTTCTCCAGACTCTTCATGAGCACCAACTTTACGTGAAGAAAGAAAAGTCAGACATGTCATATCTTGACAAGGAATCTCGATGGATCCTTCGAAGATTGAAATGGTGCTGCAATAGGAACGCCGAAGAATGTAGCTGAAATTCAAAGTTTCCTAGGACTTGCGGGGTATTGCCGGTGATTTGTAAAGAACTTCTCGAGCATTGCTGCTCGAATGACCCGATTGACCAAGAAGGAAGTCAGATTTGAATGTGATACTACCTACGAACACGCTTTCCAAGAACTGAAGACCGAATTGACGAGCGCACAAGTTTTGACTATATCAAATGCTGAGGAACCGTGCGAGGTATATTCTGACACATCAAGATGAGGACTTGGGTGTGTTCTGATGCAAGGAGGGCGTGTTGTAGCCTATGCATCTCGTCAATTGAAACCTCATGAGCATAATTATCTAACACATGATTTGGAGTTAGCTGCAGTAATTTTTGCTTTCAAAATATGGAGATGTTATCTCTATGGAGCAAAATTCCAGATCTTCTCCGATCATAAGAGTCTGAAGTATCTGTTCACTTAGAAAGACTTAAATCTGAGACATAGAAGATGGATGAAGTACATGGGAACTACGATTTCACCTTGCAGTATCATCCTGGAAAAGCCAATGTGGTAGTAGATGCTCTCAGCAGAAAGACTTCAGGAATCCTGGCATCTTTCGCTTTAGAGGATTGGAAAAGGACTGAAACTGTAGGTGATTATGATTGTCAATACTATGAGGATTATAATCAAGCTATGATGTACAACTTGGTTTCTGCGCCAGCTCTTATGCAACAAATCAAGTATAACCAATGTCAGGATCAGCATCTTCAAAGAGTTTGGACCGGAGTTCAGAATGGAGAACAACTTGATGTGTGGAATATCCGAGAAGATAGAACGCTCTACTTCAAAACCTGCATTGTTGTTCCTAAGGTGGATGAGAGAAAGAAGACAGTCATTCACAAGGCTCACAAATTAAGGTTTGTTATTCATCCCAGGAGTACCAAGATGTATCAGGATCTCAAAAGGTAGTATTGGTTGAGAGGTATGAAGAAGGATGTTCGCCAATACGTGTCAGAATGTATGACTTGCCTCCGAGTCAAAGCTGAACATCAAAAACTTGCTGGAGAACACATCACGATGGATTTTCTGATGGGATTGCCGAGGACTAAACAACGGCATGATGCTATCTGGGTTGTAGTGGATAGGCTGACGAAGTCCACACACTTCATATCGTTTTGTGCAACGTATTCCTAGAAGATCTTAGCAGAGTTATATTTGGAGCACATTGTCAGACTTCACGGATTTTCATTATCTATCACGTCGGATTGTGACACTCATTTCAATGCAAAGTACTGGAGAAGTTTTCAAGAAGCCATGAGGACTAAATTGAATTTCAGCACCGCATTTCATCCTCAGAACGGCGGACAGTCTAAAAGAGTTATTCTGATTCTGGAGAATATACTTCGTGCTTGCATTCTAGATTTCGGTGGAAACTGGAAGAAGTATCTTCATCTAGCCGAATTCACCTTCAAGATAGCATTGGAATGGCACCGTTCAAAGCATTATATGGCAGACCTTGCAGATCGCTAGTTTGTTAGCTCGAACCAGAGGATCGGCATACTACTGTACCAGATCATATCCAAGAAAACAACGAGAAAATAGTCATTATTCGGGAACGATTACTGACAGCTCAAAGTCGTCAGAAAAGTTATGCTGACAGGAGACGTAAACCCTTAAAGTTCCAAGAAGGTGATTTGTTTTGTTAAGGGTTTCTCCACGTAAAGGAGTTACTAGTTTCAGTGTGAAAGGGAAACTTGTGCCAAGGTATATAGGCCCATTTCAGATCGTGCAATGAGTCGGTGTCATTACTTACCGTCTCGTTTTGTCTTCAGAGTTCTCTTATGTGCACGATGTATTTCACGTTTCCATGCTTCACAAGTGTCAACCCGATCCGGAAACTATTGTACAATAGTATGACGTGCCGATTTAGTATAACACGACTTACGAGCAAGCACCAATTTAGATTCTCGATTAGAAAATGAAAAGTTTATGCCGTCGCGAGATTCCGCTAGTGAAGGTGTTGTGGCAACACCATAGCGTTGAGGAAGCAACGTGGGAACTAGAAGCAATAATGCAAGAACGATATCCGCATATGCTCTCATTTTGAGGCAAGCTTTAATTTCGATGACAAAATTCCTTAAAGGGGGTAGAGCTGTAACGACCTCAAGAATTAAACAGGTTTAATTATGCTAATTGTGATTTATTAGTGTGCTTAATACTAATTTTATTAGTTAATCATGTATTTTAAGACAATAGCTTGATTATTGTTATTAATATCATAATGAACTAAAGTTTTAATGAATACTTTCTTAAGATAAGATATCTTGCGAACTAGTAAGCTCGCTGATACCCTAGATAGGATATGGAGATCGTATCCTTAGGGGCAGAACCCGAAACCCAGACGGGCCACTACGGTGGTGATAAGTCCTTGCATTGGTCGTAAGTAATTTATCATTAAATTACTTACTAGTTGCCTGTAATCTGGAATTTAAGTTTATTTACCTTTCAGTAAAAAGGTTGTTTAGTTCTGAATAATTCTTTCGGGCCTGTATTTTCATTACATATTCAGTTTTTTTTATAAATTCAATCCTACGAGGCCTTTCGCTCACTTTTCATATGTTTCAAATGTAATTTAACCTCACCCAGGCGACGCTAGAAGTAACGCAGAATAGGTGAGGAATACCGTTCAAGAAGAAGGGAAGCGGTGAAGTGTTTCTTCCATTATCGTACTCATTTAAGGCATGTATAAACTATGGATTGTAAACCTTAAATTCTACTGGACTGTGGTTGATATCAGTTTAATACTATATATAAAGGTAAATACCGTATTAACTAGTAAAAATCATATTTATCCAAAAGTCCGGCCACCGGCTCCAGTGAGTGTTTAACACTGTATTTACTAGTAAATATCATATTTACTTATAAAAATCATATTTATTTAAAAATCCGGCCACCAAATCCAACGACTGTTTAACATTATATTTACCGGTAAATACCGTATTTACTAGAAAAAAAATCAAATTTGTCCAATAATCCGTCCACCGACTCCACGACTGTTTAACACCGTATTTACCGGTAAATATCGTATTTACTAGTAAAAATCATATATATCTGAAAATTCAGCGACCGTTTGACACTATAATTACAAGTAAATACTGCATTTAACAATAAATACAGTATTTACTAATAAATATCATATTTATTCAAAAATTCAACCACATTAATTACACGTTTTTTAATTATACACAGTAATCTTAGTATTCCAAATTAATTATACACATTTTTTCTTTTGGGTAAAAAGGCATCGATTCACCAAATAATTACACTTCGTTACTCATTAGAGGAATGAATAATTACTTATAAATTCGTAAAAGGATCTATACTACTCTTTAAATTACAATTTAGTAATCCTTTATGTTTATTATTTCAGCCAATTTGTCATGGCCATCGTGCAATTTCTCAATGCAACCGGAAATCCATAAAACATTACTTCCAATACACAAATAACACATCATGAATGGTACTAGCACCATAGATACATAACTAGAACACTTAAAAAGAGCAAGAAAAACACCATTTCATTAATTATCAAACAAGAAAAGAAGCCAAGCGTTTGATCATGACATTAGCATTGTGAGAATCAATGTTGTATATATGGAAAGCATGATCCTCTTCCTCCACCTCAAACAGCTCAACTTCCCCTTTCCACCCACTCTCCTTCACCGCCTCATAATACCAAACCCCTCTCTCCCTCAGCCGATCCTTCCCCGCCACACACACCAGCATCCTCGAGCACCCGAGCCCCGCTAAGCTCGGCGCACCGCCCCCGCTCACCGGGTTGATCATCAGGTTATCGATCCCCCACGATGCTGACGGGTACGCAAAGTCCCAAACCAAACGTTCTAGTGCATTCTCAAACCCTTCTGTCAAAAATAAAAAAAAAACTATTGTAAGCCGTAATTCTAATAAATTAACATAGTATAAGAGCAGATATTATTATAAGTTAAAACGCTTTGTACCTTTTGGCTCTGAGCCGATCGGCTTGGAGCCCCAAAAGTAAGGATGAGCGAGGAACGCGCCATGGATCTTGACATTGCAAGGCAGGCTCTCGGACTCGGTCCCTGCGCGGAGAGCGACGTTGTGGACGATGTTGGCCCCCGCGCTGTCGCCGCCAATGTAGAGGC